CCTTCTGCACTCCAGTACACACAGCTCACTCCTTTGTATCCATATTACCAGTGAGATCTGAACTCTGGTATACATAGCTCGCTTCCTTGTATCCATATCCTTCTGCACTCTAGTGCACACAGCTCACTTCCCTGTATGCATATTACCAGTGAGATCTGAACTCTGGTATACATAGCTCACTTCCCTGTATCCATATCCTTCTGCACTCCAGTACACATAGCTCACTTCCCTGTATCCATATCCTTCTGCACTCTAGTGCACACAGCTCACTTCCCTGTATCCATATCCTTCTGCACTCTAGTGCACACAGCTCACTTCCCTGTATCCATATTACCAGCGAAATCTGAACCCTGGTATACACAGCTCACGTCCCTTTATCCATATCATCCTCCTGCACTCCAGTACACATAGCTCACTTCCCTGTATCCATATTACCAGTGAGATCTAAACTCTGGTATACGTAGCTCACTTCCCTTTACCCATATCATCCTCCTGCACTCCACTACACACAGCTCACTTCCCTGTATCCATATTACCAGTGAGATCTGCACTCTGTTATACGTAGCTCACTTCCCTGTATCCATATTACCAGTGAGATCTGAACTCTGGTATACACAGCTCACGTCCCTTTATCCATATCATCCTCCTGCACTCCAGTACACACAGCTCACTTCCCTGTATCCATATTACCAGTGAGATCTGAACTCTGGTATACATAGCTCACTTCACGGTATCCATATCATCCTCCTGCACTCCAGTACACACAGCTCACTTCCCTGTATCCATATTACCAGTGAGATCTGAACCCTGGTACACACAGTTCTCTTCCCAATATATAATGAGGACTGCACTCCAGTACACACAGCTTATCCTGATTATATGACAACAGTGGATCACGCCTGTGCACTGAAAAGGCCGTTCATGGTCTCCTTTGGAAACTTGTAATCTTAAATGAAATGATTCATCAGGGTCAGTTTTGAAGCCAGCAAGCTATTTATTCCAATTATCATCAGTAAGACAATCTAGACATCATAATGTCTTGACGCCTTTTGCTATGCTTACTCATTGCAGACACACCTGCAGCCTGACTAACCCCTTCTCGCCCACCATCTCTATATTAAGGTCCTCCAGCACCATGCTTTGTGGATATATGTTTATAAATGTCTTCCCTTTTGAGAGCCACCAGCTGACATTTAGCACAGGTTCTCAATCCTGGCTGACAGCTTGGGTCACTGCTGACGATCGGGAACCAATCAACATTCTTACCATTCATATGATCATTTTTTGTCAGCTATTAAATCAAATGAAATGTTTTCACGCTGCCTCAGTGTTCAGTTGCAGTGCCATATGTTTAATGATTGAATTATCCGTTTACAGCATTACAATAATACATTAAGTAAATAAATACAAATGTATTACTTCAATAATATGTTAAAGAGAGAATTATATTTTATGTTGATGCTGCTAAATTTGGTTTGGGCATCATGGACATCTAGGCATCAATGACCTCTGGTTAAGGAAAGGAAATTAATTCAGG